GGTCATCCCCCTTGCGCATGCAGAGCGAAGAGGTCTGAAGACGAAAGCGGGCAATGTGCGAAACAGAGGAAGAGGAGGCCGCTCTGCTCACAGGGCAGCCTTTTCAGCAGAAACAAGGGCCTTCCTCCGCTTTTGTTCTTTACCCTTCCTCCCGGGTCTCAGGGACAGCCTACCTTCTCAGTGGAAAGGTTGGTCTCCACGTCGTGCTTCTTCTGAGTGAAAACAATCGTAAAGACAGCATGAGAGCGGCTGCTGGTTTCATTCATATTGGTAGCTGCCACCGTCCTTTAAGAGAAGAAAGAAAAGTTATTTGTCTTTTAAAAAAAAAAAAGTATATTCAGAAAAATATCACGTTGGCATTTTTTAGGAAGAGACAGGACGCCCATTAACTTAACACCTTCCCGGCATGTTAATAATTCCCGTTACCCCGGCCAATGAGCTGGCTGAAATGATGGGGAATGTAGTCAAGGTAAGGAAAGGCTGGCTTGTCACTCCTCTCTACCTCTGCTACTTGTGGAAATTTAAGTTGGTGATCATAGACCAGGCAAGTGTAGCAGACACATACCCCTGTGTGCCCAAGATAATTGATAAATGCTGTTTTTCCCTCTTTTACTTATTTTTTTTAAATCAGCCCATCTTCTAATATACCTCTTTATCTGCCACTCTGCACTTGTTTATTTTATGATTTATTTAGAAATATTTTTTCAGGACACACTGTCCTCACATGCCGGCTTACAATATTACAAAAAGATGAACATTCAACTGATAATAAGAGGCATTTAGATACAACAGCAATAGTTAATGATATTTTGAGCAACGCATACATATTGGAATAAATGTGACATTAGGTTTGGGTTTGTTATAAAGTCCATATATGAGTCCATATGCCTCTCACTGTGGAAGCAGGGAGGGAGTTCCAAAGGAGTGGGGCCACCACCAAGAAAGCCATCCAGGTACCCACCAGCTTAACAGCGCTTTTTGATGGCCAGCAGAAGGAGGCCTCTGACCCTCCTCTGAAAGAATGGCCAGGCTCAAACAGGTGTAAGTGATCCTTCAGAAAACATGGTCCCAAACTCCATTTGACAGCCAGGATCAGTACCTTGATTCGGGACCCGAAACTGGGAGACAGCCAACATAAGCGGCTATTTTGCAGCTCTTTTAGGGTACAATCCTATGGCGGCTGCGCTTCACTTCCATCTCTGACCTCAGAAATGCATCAGAGCACTCTCCCCCATCCTCAAAGCGGTTCTTCCCACACTGCTGAGACTCCAAGACCAAGCTCGGAGCTGCTACTGGGGAGGGGAGGGGCTCTGCTGGGTGTGCAGGTGGGGTTTGCTGCCTCCCCCCCTTGGGGGGTGGAAGGGTTTTGCATGGTGGGGGAAGTGCAGGGACAACGTGTGCCTCCACACGCCTTCCATCCTCGGTCGGAACACCTACCATCTTCCAGGCTTGGAAGGCCACAGGATGCCACAGAGGATTGCACTGAAAGTCAAGTGGAAGAGGCCAACCATCTGTATATATTGTGCATACAGAGCGTGCATGTGTGGTTCTGTGAGTGTGTGTACACACCAATATATACTGTATCTACCGACTGACTTATCACTAGCCACACTGGTTTGGAAACACTAGGCAGCCGTGCTGGGTTCCGCTATTCCTACCTCATCTCTGTGGCCGCTGTTTACTGCTGCTAGTTATTCCCTCCACCCTTTAGCATGCTAAAGCAGCACTCAGCGCTCATTTCAGAGGCAACACATTCCAAAGAAACACCCACACGATCCATTCCCCAGTCACCGGCCTCCCGGGTGGGGCGCAAGTGACTTCGTGCCACGTCTGGACCACGGCACGAACTGACCTGGCCTTGTTCCCGGCGTCCATGAGGTCTGCAATGTCTGTGTAAGAAGTGACAGCCAGTTTGGACAGGTCTTCCACGTAGGGCCCGAGCAGAGGGTGCTCCCGGACCCGCAAGTTCCCCTTGTTCTTTGGGTTCAGCAGGTCACGGACTCTCTCACAGTAGATCTCCATATAGCTGACCTGCGAGCAAAGGCAGGAAAGCACGGTTGGAATCTAGATGGCTGAGGGGGCACCCGAGGGCAAACAAGGCAGGAAATGACATCAAGAGGTTCATTTGAACGAATAAAACTAAGCAGCACACACTGAAGAGTATTTTAAAAGATCTCATCTGCAGAATATTTCCTTAAAACTCTCATTTAAGAAGGTCCCATTATTCACAGTGACTACTGTGAATAAAGCCAAGGAATAAAAAAAACCACCAGCCTATTTGAACTTAAAGCTCTTAATGGCAAGAACTAAGGAGAGGCCCAGTGGAATGCCAGGTATTGTGGCCCAACAGAGCTGGAAGGCACCAAGTTGGCGAAGGATGGGCTAGACAGGCATTTGGTTTGCCCCAGCTGAGTTTGCCTTACGTCTCAGACCTAGATCAACCTCCAGCTCCCAGCGCAAGTCATGCTGCCCTGACCTGATGAGAGGTGGAACCCGGCATCAACTGTAAGGGTGATGCAGAACGTGGGTGCACGATGCCCAGCATTCCTCTAAGTCTCCCCTGGTGCTTAATCACTGGCCGTAAACACGTTAGATGGAAATATTCTCATTTTCAGGAGAAGTTGCCTCATTTGAAGGCAGAGAGCTAGCAATGATTTCATGCACAGAACCGTACGCCTACCTTCTGGTCTATGTTTTTAGGATTCCAAGAACTGTACACACCTCTTTGGTTTAGAAACACGTTTAAAATAAATCGGCCCAATTCTGAGGCAACAAAACCGAGCACCGTTCTGTTTGGGTTTCCTGCCGTGGCCTGTTTATTTTGCACGTGCTGAGGAAGGGGGACCAACACACTTCATCCTGGAAGCTGAGGAGACCACAGCTGAGAGGAGAGGTAAGGCCACAGCGCCCCACGCTGAGCTAGGAGATCTCCCAAAGCAGAATCCATCCTACGCCGCCCCTTCCAGAGCCAAGGCAGCAAGTCCCAGAGGGCTTAGCAGAAACAACCCAGCTGTCCATCAAGGACAGAGGCCTGGCTCAACATATGGAACAAATGTGCACAGCAACACGCTATTTTTACATAGGCGGTATTTTAATCACTTGCCAACTATGGACACACACATCCTCCTAAACACTCGCTTGGCTGACCGCCTGGACGGTGTCACTGTGCATCACGTTAACAGGAAGAACGTGTTTGTTCAGCCATCGCCCTGTCCATTATGTTGCCTTCCGGTCGCCCGTGGTTCTTGGGGCTCCAAATGCCCCCTTCAGCTCTGCGAGGCGCACCTGCGTTTCCTTTCTTCTTGGCAGTCAAAGGGGTTTCCATCATTGCATTCATCGCCCGGGGCAAAGCAGCAGCACAACACACACCGGGGTGCTCCAGCCATCCCTGACACTTTATGTTCAAGCAATCGCAATGTTTTCCCAAGTAGCTGAGGGCTCGGGCTCACTTTTAAGACTGGAGGCAGAGTTCACCTTTAGTCACAAAAAGGCAGGCGTGTAGGAATAAGACTGAGTGGTTCCCAGGAGAGCCGAACCTCTCACTTCTCGGCTCTCTGTCCTGACTGGAAGCAGGCAGTGTGTGAGGGGATGCAGTGGGCGGCCTCCTCTGAAGGCAGGCCAGAAACAGGGGATACAAGCTGCTGTCCAGCCAGGTTAGAGCAGCCGTCTAGCCTGGTTTCTCCCTTAGAGAATGTTGCAATGCAGTTAAAAAAGAAACTGGCTTCGGCACCTCTACTGCAACACAGGTGCTAGTCACCAGGTACAAATTTGTAGATCCTAAGGCTATCCGGTGCCTTGGATTTATCCACCCCTGACACAGGGTCCCCGTCCAGTTCTTCCCAGAGTTTTCTACCTGGCTGATGGGACTAAGGATGACACGCCTGCAATACGAGAAAGGATGTTCTGCCTTCGCAAAGCGTCATCGACAAGCCTGCATTTCAACCACACTCCTAAAGGCAACCAAGTCTGCTTGTCTACCACACACACCCCTGCGTCACACGTACCTCTACGGAGTAAGACATCTCCTCGTTGCTGTTGTCATTGATCTTTTCAAAAAGCTCTTCACAAAGCTGGAAGTAGATTAAGAGATCATCGGGTGACAACCATGCAGAAGGAAGACTGATAGAGCGCCTGCAATTTTTAATCTACTCCAGCGCCTCCCCCCACAGTGCACAGGGCCTGCCAGAAAGGCTGCTAGTTCATCTCCACCCACTCAAAATTGTCCAGGTGGCCAATCTGCTTAACCTTCATGGAATTATGTATCGCACTCAAATGCGACCCATGCTAACTTGCCGAAGAGCTTCAGCAGCAGACGCGATAGGCCCTATAAAATAAAGGAAGAGCTGTGGGTTATGAAGCTTGGGTGGGGTAACCCACTCGCACCCAACTGTAACAGCATTAAAATAGGAGGCTTAATTTTAGAAGAGTCCCTTGAGTTCAGCTGTTCTTTGAAAAGGTTCTATCTGCCAGGGTTGTTTGTTTGTTTGTTTTTAAGCACATTAAACAGTGGGGGGAGATGCTGTGCTTTGAACATCCCCATTAACTGCCCATTATCCTTTCCCCTGTCTGCAGAACTTAAGACTGCCAAAATGAAGGCAGAAGCACACATGTGCAGACGATGGTTAAAAAGAGCAACCAGAGCGGTTGGTTTTGAAAGTCTGTGCCTGGGAACTCAGTTTTTATGCTCAAAACTATCTAGGGCGTCTCTTACAAACTGGCAAAATATTTGCTTCGCTTCATTTCCCTCAGGGAACCCCAATTCATGGCAGGCCCTGACCCCGTGTGTAAACGCGGAAAAAAATACAAACGCAGAACACAGGCTTGTGTTTTGTCAGATGAGGCGGTGCGTGCAAGGGTCATGTATTCCAGCTTTTCCTATCATCCCCAGCCACCAGATGGAAAGGAAGGATGGGAATCGCACCAGAATAAGCAATGCTTAGACATTTCCTAATGAAGTGAGGGAAACAGTGTGTGAAGCAGCCCTGACTAGAGCAGAATATGAACGAATGTAGCAGCATGAACACATGGCGATGCCTTGGCTAGATGGGCCAGTGGCGGAACTCAGCCTCAGCACCAACTGCTCGGACTAGCAGTCACGCTCCGGGGCCTCAGGCAGGGCCGCCCCCCACTAGGGATGTGCAAGGAGTCTGATACAGGATGCGACCCCAGTGGGACGGGATGCAAGTCTGATGGGGAGATCTGATGTCAGCTGTGCCTGCATGGCATTTTTTTTAAGGCTGTAATTTGCTCAAGGTTTAGTTTTCTTTTTAAGTCAGAAAAATGTATGTCGATGTAGGAACTCTGCTTTGTAAATCTGCAGAAATTGGGATATGGAGGTTTGGATTTTTTTTACTAATCTGAAAGTAACTGTCAGTAAAAGAAGGTGGCCAAGGTGGAACACGAGCATGCAGCAGGAGGAAGATGCCCATGTTAATATTACAACAAGAAAACTCTAACCTAACCAGTCGACCCCCCTTTGCACAAACTATGCAAGAGATACACAGCCTTCACCTCCAATTTTGTGCAAATATATTAAGCAACTTTGCAGAAACAGGAGAACACCTCTCAAAAAGAAACTATCGAACACTCCAAACATCTGAGTTTCGGGAGGTACATGAGGCATCCACCACCTTGAGAGCCCTTTGCTCTTTAAAACAGGAATGCTATGTTTTTGCTTAAGATTTTTCTAATCATTACCTTTTCCCCACAAGATTTAAATATGGTGCTAGATACCAGATTGCTGCTCAGGCCAGGCTGCCAAATACCCACAGCCCTTGCTGCAGCCGCTTTGGGTACAGATGCAGCATCTTCTGCTTCAAGGCTGAGTTGGCGCAAGCCCTTGAGGCGTGATCGAAGGCCACAGCTGATGCAGGGTGGAAACCCCTGGCTGAGAGGGGTGGGGGTACCAAAATTGTTCAAAATGCTCAGGGCCCAGCTCCGCTTTGCTCACCTCTCCCTGCCTGCAGACAGGCACGGCCCAGATCCCTGACCAGCATTTCACAGAACCCATGAGCAGCCTCTAGCCATGTGCAAGCAAGCCCCTGTCAGATGACAGCTGCGTATGCATTTGCTTCCCTGCTGTCAGACGCCGGGGCTTAGCGCTGTCTATTTTACACTGGGATGGGGGCACACGGCCAGTGACATTTGCTGCTGATCCTGTATAGTAGAACGATGACTCAAAACAGCGATTCAGCAAAATGTATTTATTGAAGGTGAAACCTAGCCCCAGCTACCCTCCTTCCTAGCCCGTGCAGCTTCATTCATCTGCCTTAACGGGAGGGAAAGGAGCAGCACGGATGGCCCTAAAATTGCCAACATGGGATCACACCCTTGCGTTTCTAATGAGAGGGCAGTCCAGTTGAAGGATAAAGTGGTCAAGAAGAGAAGCCAGAAAAAACTACCATTTCAGTTCTTTAAAATATTTAGAGGCCACTTTTCCACACACACACACACACACACACACACACACACAAATAAAATATTCAACGTAGCTAACAAAATCCAAAATAGTCCAAAAACAGCACACAGCAAATGGAATGGAAACCATATGCGGAACATACCATGTTTGTGGGTTTCCCCGTTTTCACTCATTTTTCCTCATGCTTAAGGTTGAAATCATTTTCCTAAGGCTCAGTTACCAACAGCGAGAATTTTAAGCACCTCTAGGGTGGTCTTCTTTTCCGCTGTGTCACCCTTTTGGACTTCAGCCTCAACCTCCCTGAGATCGAATCCCATTATCCCACTCCTGTGAGGGATAATGGAAGGCTTCCTTGTCCCCCGATTCAAAGCAGTGACACGGGAAGACGAAATGCCCACGCAGAGATCAGCGTACGATAGCAAGATATGATCGGGCAAATCACAGCCACGGCCTAATCTAACAAATGGCCTCCCACTTGAAGTCATCTGCTTCTCTGCACTAACGTACGAAATATAATCTATGCACTGCCAGTTTGCACAATTAGCGGGCACACTTGGCAAGGCCGAAGAGCCCGAGCCGCAGCTTACCTGTGGGATGATCCCTGCCTGGTTCTCCTCTTGCTTCCCCATCATCGTGTAGGATTTCCCAGCTCCGGTCTGGCCATAAGCAAAGATACATACGTTGTAGCCCTCAAAGGCGTGCAGCAGCATCTCCTTCCCGATATCGTTGTACACGCGATTCTGGGAGGCAAAGCATGGGTCATCGGGCTGTAGAGATTTAAGGGAAGAAACCACAGTGGTCAGTGTGGACTCTCTGAGAAACAGAATGGCAGCTGCAGGAGAGGAGAGGAGAGGAGAGGAGAGGAGAGGAGAGGAGAGGAGAGGAGAGGAGAGGAGAGGCTCTTGAGACAACCTTCCTCAGGACAAATACAAGAAGCTTGACCAGGAAAAACTAGTGAAGGGTGGGAGCTGCCACCACTGCGACAGGCAAACACTGGGTATGTTCAGCAGCCCAGCCCAGCCCATCAGCCCCAACTGGCTGGTGCTATCTACTCCAGAGGTGTCACCCCTCAGGCTCAAGGGCCAAATCCAACCCTGCCCTCCAGGCCTCCCTAGGTACCCATGCTCCCTTACCTTTGCCCCAGTCCCTTTTTGCCCAACTGCCTTTTTTTTCTTTCTTTCTTTCTTTTTTTTTTTTTTTGGCAATTTTGTGGCTGCCTTTCTGAGCTGGTAATCACAGCTTTTATCTTCAGTCACTGACTGAAGAAGGGAGCCGAGCTGGGCAAAAACCCTATAAATTTTCCCAGCTCAATAGTACAGAAAGGCCGGTCTTTCTCTAACGTGGATAATTTTTGCTTGTACACTGGGGAAAGTAAGGGCCTCAGAAGGAAGGGACCACCTGTGACATCAAGTAACCCCCAAGAGACAATCCAATCTCCCGGCCAAAAACAGTTCCCACACCCTGATTCAGATGCTGCAAGTGCCACGTTCAAGTGAAGTTTGCCGCTCACATTTCTGAAGCATGTTCTTTCACACTGTAAAGTACAAATTAAACTTGGATGCATGTATCTTGGCACTGGGCAATAACACTGGCTGTTCCAATGGGATGTGCTGAATTTTCAGGCTCTGGAGCTCTGAATCTCGGTACTTTCTGTTTCAGGGATTAGACTGAACACTTCCAATATTGGCCACGCATTTTTGCTAGCCCCGAAAAAATAGCCAGCTCATTCAGCTGTCCAAAATTCATCCCTCCAGCTCTTTCATTTAAAAGGATATCACTAATTTGCAATGCCAGAGGAAAGGACTTCACCATGAGCAGCTGTCTTTCACAAGTTAGCACACAAATAAGAGGGACTGGATAAAGGGCAAGAGGGAGGTGTAGTCATTTCAGTGCGCTGTTGGGTTTCCACTGGTCCCATTTAACTTCTTGGGCCGTCACTGGGCAAGCCAAGCAATGGAAGCACTCTTCAAGCTGCTTCAATCGGCATTCCCAACATGCAGGGTCTGCAACTTCTATCATCCCCAGTCAGTGTGAGTGGCAACCCCTGTGGCTGTGGAATGTGGGTGTTGCAGTCCAACACATCAGACAGAACTACAGAAAGGATGAGTTGGGCTACGACTGCCAACAGGCCCCAGCCAGTCATACAGAATACTAGGCTGAGGAAGTCTGCATGACCTGAAGCCTGCAGCGCTTGAAACCTCAAATGCTTGCAACAGAGTGTTTTAGGAATGAAGCACTAATGAGTGCAAAAGGAACCCTCTTCCCTCTTGCTGTAGCCGGCCCCGCATTTCCCACGTGGGCAAGGTGGTCCTGCCAGTTTGCACAGTCACCAGTTGCTCTCCCTTCCCTCTCTTTCTAGCAAAGCATTCAGTGCTCCAAACTAAAAATATAAAAGAAGCGGAGGCAAGTGCCAGAAGTGCCAGTTTAAAGAGCAATTGTGCACACAGAAAAGGCTTCTGAAAGCAAGCAAGTTCAAAGACAGACAGACGGACAGACAAACCAGCACACAGAAAGAGAGACAATCGTGCTACTTCTTTAAAAAGAAGGCCTCTAAGTATGACATAATCCGGAGCATCAGCTGAGAAGTAAAAATATTTCCTGTTCAAGGAATAAGTGGAGCAGATTAATGCTAAACAAGATGATTGTCCTGCCCTGCTCTCGGTGGAAACCACATTACTCCTCAATTAAGAGGAGAAGCCTGAGGTAGGGGAGAAAGATGTACGCACAGCCTTGGGGTAGAGGGTAAGGCTCAGACAATTTCGTCTTGCTGGGATAAGTCCCTTCCCCAACCTGGTGGCCTATCACTGTGTTGGAAGACGATCATATTTCACCGCCAGCCTGGTCGACAGGGATGGCGGACGGACACTGACAGGGCCCATCAGATCAGGGAAGGCTGCCAAAAGGGCCCCTAGGTGCTTCCTCCTTCCCACTAAGCCAGGCCAGCATTACTCTTCCTATTCAGTAACGAAGGTGCTCAGGGTCACTGTGTGCTGCTACCCCAAGTCCACAGCAGAGGCGAAGTGGGGCCGCTCTTGGCCAACTGCACCCACTGGTCTTCCATGTCCTTCATACTTGTACCAGCAGATCAATGAGACCGCTTTTCTTCTGCAAACTGCAACCTTTAAGAGGTGATGATAGTAGCAGCTATATCCTGAAGGTGAGAACACCCCTTTGGTGCCACCCTATTCATCAGGGGCATTAAACACAGCTCGTCAGAGTTCTGCCTCAAGTAAGGCTGCTTAAACTTCCGGGATTCCGGTCATCCTCTGCAGGTGGGCTAGGAAGAGGTGATCCGCTTTCCCTTGAGCCCTGCCTCACCTCTGTGACAGGGATGCCTCACCTCTGTGACAGGGATGCCCCTCCTCTTTGGAGGACATGCAGGAAACTTTTGGGACAGTCAGACAACCTGAAGCAATGTATTTATATATGCACCTCCTTGGATTAATCCTGAGACCACCCAGGTCCCCTTGCCCCACTGGGATGGTTCAGCAACTGCTTTGCCTTTTGAGACTGACAGAAAACGAAGCTTGTGTCATTCAATTAATGCCTGGCCAATTAAAGATTGGCTTAATTGCCATTAATTGCCTGGCTAAGTGCTTTTCGCATACTTAGGTTTCCTCAGAGCCAAGAGAACTTGGTTGCTAGCTCTGCCCAGCATATCTTTCCCTTTACTGGATGCACCAATTATCAAAGCTCACGTCTATTAAGAATGCAAAGAGTTCCTTTTTCCCTCTCTCCATTTTTTAAGAGAACTAAGGAGCAGCAATGGCAGCGTCCAACAATTAGTGGAAATCAGCATGACATTAAACTCAGCTCTCACAAAGGATGGAGCTTCAGTGTCCAGAGGTTAGTGTGTTTTATAACTTTCCCAGTGGGGTGGTATGGGAAGCAGATGGTCCTGCCCTGCCTTCCTAATAAGTCAGGAATTAAAACTCATCTTTCACTAAGCCAGGAACACTTCTAGAAGATTTTCCTTTCCAAAGAACAGCAGCAAAAAGAATGTGTTGTTCTAATTCCGTTATGTGGCTACTTGGACCAACCCTCGATCATCTTTGCACACACTTCGTCTTCACTACTTAGAATTTAAACTTTTCTGATCCCATGATGGAAACTGAACTTAGACAAAAAAATAAACTTGCAGTTTCAATGCCTAAAACGCCAACGACAGTCAAAGGAGGCAAGCAGCTGCTTTGGGAGAAGCATCCAGTTCTCAACTGGGAAGGCTTGGATTGCACCGTTCGTTTTACCAAAGCACAATGCAGTGCTCTTACCGAGGTGTGGGACCAGTACGAGTAGTCAAAGCTGAAGGATTTTGGTGCTTCCTTGGGATTCTTTGGGTTGAGAATACCTAGAGGAAATAGAAAATGCAAATGTGTTATCCAAGGAAACACTAGGAACAGAAGTGGGAGTATTTGTTTGTCACATTTACGCCTGACTTTATCCCCAATGAACCCAAAATGGTGTACACAATTTGCCTCCTCTCCATGTTATCCTCAGAACAACCCTGTGAGATAGGTGAGGCTGACTGCCAGTAGCTGGCCCAAAGTCACCCAATGAACTTCAGAGTCCCGGTTTAACAGCCTGAACACCATATTGGCTCAAAACAGAAGTGACAGCAGTGTTAACCCTTGTAAATATGCAATCGGAAAACAGTATTTTGCCACCCTGTCACCCCAGAACACAATACACATGACAAAAGATGACAAAGTGCTGCCCTCCAGCACCGTCTTTATCTGGGTTCAAAGAGTAATTTGGTGCCCAATTCTTCACCTTTTCTTTGTACTTTGCTGTGGGGGCAAATTCGTGTTCTCTTAGTCAACCCACCTTCTGGGAAACAGGCGTTTTGTGACCAGCCACATGTCTTCCAAGGCAGCCATTTGAGGAATGAGAAAACCCCCTTCAGCAGACATTTTGTGAGAGTGCCCATGATGCTCCCTCAATATTCCTCTTCTGCTGTATATTTTGACATTGTCATTTATCTTTTAATTTGCTCTCTCTCTGCTGTTTGCTTATTAGCCTGCATATTGTCATGTCCTGTTTGATTTTGCTTTTATTCCTGTTAAACACTTTGAGTGTTTGAGTGTTTAACAGGAATAAAAGATCTACAATATGCATAGGGCCAGCAGGGTGCCAAATGAAACCATCGGGAACTGCAAGTAAGATTCACTTCTGGAAAAAACAGCTACTTATTCCGTAGCTCAGTTAAAAAAAATACTCCCATGGGCCAGATTACACAGGAATGTTCATGTCACGGGTTCACAAGACAGCAATAAAGCAGGCTTTTTTCTTTGCAACAGAATGAAGAAAGGTACACCAGTCCATACAGAAACAAGCTATCATACACAACCACAATGGATGGAATTCACATCAAGCAGAGGGACAGAGGCTACAGCTAGGTGATCATGGCTTTAACTAGTGAGATTCCTTTCAGCTAAGCAAAGAGAAGAACCTTCCTTTGAACAACAGCCCACCCCCCTCACCCACCCCCCGCACACAGACAAAGCTGGAGGTGTATCCGAAATGACAGTGGGACTGTTCAAGATGCTTTTAAAACATGTGTTCCCCTACAGAGGCAAAAAGGTTCACGACCACTGATTTGCTTTCAGAGGCTTGGGAAGTGTTGTAGGAGGAAACGAAGAGGGTCTGGAAAGGCAACAGGAATGTTTTAAGATTAACACACTGGGATGACACGGTTCAACATTTTTTCTGAAAATAAAGAATAGGCAGTTCTCACAGAGATGTTAACAGAACTAACACTTTAAAAGGCAGAAAAAAGAGCTGCCAACTGTTACAGCTACCCGGTTGTGCCTGAAACCCCACTCTTATTCCTTAATCCTACATGCATCGACTGATGCTTCACTGTGACCCTATTGTCCCTGCGGCCAGAAACAGATTCTTCTCTCCCTCCCTTTGTACTGCAGCCATCTGTGTGGCTTCGGCAAACAAGAAAAATGGTCCACTGGCCTCCCCACACTCACTGTCAAGCTACAAAAGAAAATGTAAACAAGGGAGAAGGTCAACAGAGAACCTACTAGATCCTGTCACTCTAATACCTTCGGTCAGACATCCTACAAAAGCAGAGGGGCAAAACTGCAAAGCAAACTCCTAAAAATTCTTGACCATGAGCTATATGTGCCACGTTCTGCAGAGAGAGACTGAAAAGGAAATGTCTTCAGCAGTTTGGCTTTGTTCAGGTATAATGCCGAGCTACAGTTTGTGTTAAACTTGGCTGGGACACAACCATGCTGGTGTTGCAAAAAGCAAATCACCATCTGTGCAACTGCCCTCTCCCCATGCCTTTCCTGAGAAACCCCGAAGTATAGTCCTCTGAGGGCAGGACAACCTCTCCAATATGGTTGGCCCGTTCAGAGGTCATGCCAGACGACAGGTTGCCCAAACTATGGTCTATTCCAAGCTTGATAATCATGGTTTCAGAGCCTGGTTTGGTGGCCACTCTCAAATCAGGGTTTGTCAGAGCATTCATTCAGAAACCGTAAGAAACCAGGGGCTTGGAATTATGCCTAAAAGAGGGGTGTCCAGGAGCCAAATCCAGCCCATTGAGGTTCTCCAGCTGGAAAGGCCTCCTTTTCCATTACTTTTCCCCAGTCATCAGTTGTTTAGTGTTTTCTTGGCTTTTGGATAGCTTCCAGCACACACAAACCCCCTTTCTAGAAGACTGAAATGCCTTCCCAAGGCTCAGTCTAGCAGTAAGAACGTGAAGCTAATATATAATGGAATCTGGGGTATTTTTGGTCCCATCCCCTTCACCTTCAGCCCCACCCACTACTGGAATATGGTCCCCAAAAGCTCCGCTGAAATGGAATTCGCCTGTCATGCCAAAGGGAGGTTAAATCCCCTGGTTCAAGCCATCCACTAGCATGTTGCCCTTTCCATGCTATTCACCGGGTATTCTAGTACTCCTGTTTGCCACTGCCCTGCAATATTCTAAAATCTTCCACAGACGCTGTGCTCATGAACAGAACTGCTGCTGAAGTCTTTGGAACAGGAATGGGATCCATGGGCTGGCTAGAAATAGCAACTGCTGCTACTACACCTCTCCTTGCCATTTCTACACTTAATGGATTTGCCTTATGCTGGGGCTCCTGACCTATGAAAGGAAACAACCAGGCCAAGCCAAAGATGCATATCACTTACATTAGGATTCTGTCCCATAGTGGGGTAAAGACAACATATGGCTTTGGGCAGCGACAGGGGCTGCAACACGAGCGGCGAAGCCAAAACAAAATGAGTAACTTACAGAATCCTTTTTTCTACAACAGTCCTGACTAGAACAGGAAGATCTACGTACTCACACACTTTGAACAGCGTTTGTAAAAAACAGAGGAGGGGGAGAAAAGGGAGAGGGAAACCAGGAAAAGCCCCAGAGAATGTGCTTGCTGCCAAGCCTTTCCACGCCAGCACTTCTGTCCTGATTAACCCATTCCCATATGCAGCTTGATCAGCCATGATCACAGACAAAGGTGGTGGCGGATGAAGCGGGATGCAGCCCACAAAACCTTATGCCACAAGAGAGACTACTGTTGCTGCCTTTACTAAACCAACATCTTGCTGCTCGCCCTCTCATGGTCTTTTTGTAGGCTGAGCAGCATAACAATAGCCCATTCAGCAATTCCCTGGCAATCAGAATGTTGTCATCTAATTTTTCTGAATGTTGTCCTATTTGGCTTTTCACTGTCCGTAGCTTCTTTACATCTGTCCCTTGCAGCCAATGGAAATGAAGGCTCTCAATTATACCACCTGAACCAAAGACGGGATACTGCTGGCCCACATGAGAGGTAACAGGTAGTGGATACTGCCCAGCCAGCGAGTTTCTTTCCCAAGCCCTGCACATCTCTAGACAGAAAAAACCCTCTGGTGTTAATCAGAGAGTAAAAAACCTTTTTCCCTTTCAAGCAGAAAGGACGGGAAAGTTGCTGTGAGATTCAAGCCTGCTTGACGTCTGAGGCTTGCCTTGCTTACTTCCCAGGAGTCCTGCAAGCTCATGCTTACTCCTCAGTAAATTTGCAGAGACCTGACCTTCCTGTTTCTGAGTAGGCTTAAAATGGGTAAAATTCACATGTGGTCACACCCACTCTGTCTTCGACCATGGCCCCAGATGGAACGTGGCCTCGGTGACCTTTCCAAGATTGGAATGCATCCCTTGGGCTGAAAAAGGTTCCTTAGACCCAGCCGTGGACTGCAAGGGATCCTCACAAAGCAGAGCAGTTGCCTTTGTATGCCTCCTGCAGGAGTCCAGGCATCTGCATCACTGGGTTAGACTTCTTTTGAACCTGAGCTTCTCAGGCTGTTTCCTGGATTGCCTCAATGGCTGGGCCTACAGCTCTGTACAGCAACCAAGCAGCTACAGCAACTGAAAGACAAATAATTTCTATCAAGACAAGACATCTGCTCCTTTCTAAACAGTAAACAACCTTCCTCAGATGAAGAAAACTAACTTGGATAGAGCTGGTTTAGCTATATTTTATCAGGTTAAGATGCCCACTACTTGTCTCAGGGTAATATTTTTTGTCATATACCTACAAGTAAAGAAAAGAGACAGTGTCCATGGAGTACTTTTAGTACAGATTCTTCTTGTTTAGGAGGCAGAGATTTGGGGGTAGCAATTTAGAGGCAGAATAGGAAGGCATACTGCACACAGAAACATTTAAACAATGGAACCACTTTAGCATTTTAACACTTAACAGTTATATTGACACCACAAGAAAACATCAACCATTCCCCTCAGATAAGTCAACTTTTTGACAGTTAAGTGATAACAAATATGTCAGCAGTTCCTTTGGAATCCTAAATATTTTTAGAGGAATGCAGAAAGTTGTAAACAAACATTGCTGCAGGTTCCTAAGCGTGTGTCTGGCTTACTAAGGCTAGGGAGTTGCATCTTTTGTCAAGTATCTGGTCCATTCTACTGAGAAAATCAATCCACCTTGTAAGTCGACCAGAACGTGTGCTATTTTTGTCTTGTGCTACTTGTATTGACTTTACACTATCAGTTTCTAGGCAATGGTATTCCTTGTTTTTATAAGCATTTAGATTTCATTGCCTGTGTAATAGCTCTGGAACCTGAGCATCAGAGAAAAAACTTGATTCATCACAGTATACACACATAAACACACACAGAAAAGGTAAAGCAAGGATTTAGACAAGCTAACTGAAGAGGACTCATTTATACAGCTCAAGATTGCCCCTTTAAATTTCCCTGTGGAACAGTGAGATCTATGATATATTTTAAAGATAATTTCTTCCATATTAGTTAACTAGAATAAAGTCAGTTAGAAGTTCTTCCCCTCTCAAAATGCTTCCCTGAGAGAGGTGGGTGCTTCCACAGGT